GGAGCTCCGCGCAAAGGGATTTTTTGAGGTGGGGTCAGTAGAGCGAAACGGAAAGCGAGAAAAGGGGGGCGGGCGGAGGGGGGGAGGGGTCGTTCCATGGTCTCGATGCTGCTCTGCCCCCTCTGCCCACATCCGCACCAATAAGACTTACGCGCGCTGAGACCGACGGCCTCCGCGGCCCCGCGCTCCTATGGCGTGGACTCGCTGGCCGTCATGAGGGTGGCGAACGCGCGCTGCGGGAGGAACACTGCGTGACACACACTGTAGTCGCGGGCTGGCGTGGCTGCGAGCCGCTGCGCGCGCGAGGGAGGGTCTCGGACGGGGCGGGACCACGACGGCGACGAGCTCGGCCACGTGGCCACAGGGCGTCCTTGTCCTGCACACGGTCGCTCTCTCGCTCGCTCTCTCGCTCGCTCTCTCGCTCGCTCTCTCCCACCCCGTGACCGCCGCGTGACCGCCCGTGCCAGCCGACAGACGCTGACTGAACTGAGCGCCGGGCGCGCGGCGCCTCGCCCCCCGCCACTCCGCGCCACGCCCGGCCCCGGCCGAGGCCCCGGCTAGGGCGCAAGTGCGCTAGCGCGCCACCGCCCACAGCGAGACCGCCGTCGGGAGGTCCGCCCCGCGCCGTCCGGGAGCCGTCCGGGACGCACGCGACGGGCTCGGTGCGCACCCAGCTCGAACATGACTGTACTTCAATGGGACCGTCTGAACACTGATTCCAAGCCCATTAATGCGAATTTAGCTCGTCTCCCGGAATGTTCCGTGCATGACCATGCGGAAAGGGGTTCGACCCCAAAAAACGAGATGAGGAAGGGGATGTTGATCTAGTGGATGAGCAGCGCAGCGGGGGGCGGGCGGCGTTCAAATATACACCCAGCCAAATGAAAATTTATCGCCCAGCCAAACTCGTGCAGCCGTGCGGAACCCCATACACTCAATGGGGGCGGAGGGGCGGGGCGGGCTTTAATTTGATTGTTATTTCGAGAGCGTTTGCGCTGCGACTCTACGTTTCATATTTTTTTTGCTACCTTTAAGCGTAACGAGCAAGCACCGAGCGCGCGCCGCCCGGTGGGTGTGTGTGTGGGGGGGGGGGGGGGAGGCTGCATAGCTCGGCGTAGACAGGGAGTAATGAGTTGGGCGGGTAGGCAACCCTGCTGGGCGCTGCCAGGCAATCCGCCCCGCACATGGCTTTCTGAGGCGAGGCGTCGCATGAGGCAAGAGTCGACTGAGCCCTGCTGGAGGCGCCGGCTTGACGGACAGCTCGGGGCGCCGCTCTTATAGGGCCGCCTGCTCCGCACGCGAGCACCGCACCGCATGGCGTGCGGCCGCGGGGGCCGCCGAGTGTTACGGAGGAGCAGGCAGCTTATACGGTCTCGTTCCAAAGTTTTCTGATGGCTCAATAACGGTTCTATTTTTTTCAATTATTGTTTTTTTTTTGCGCGGTAAAT